GGGGGGGGAGGGGCGGGGGGATCTTTCACGGGATATTGTTCTCACTTGCGCACTTTTTCTCGCCCACGTCTTGCGTTTTGTCGGAAAATGTTTTATTCGTGTCAAACAAGACGACCGGGGGTGTGTTTGGTAAATCACGATGATGCTTGTACGCGGTCTGAATCGGAGTCGTGGATGTTTTCCCTTGCCGCTGGTTTACCTTTGTCTGAGATGCCCAAAGAATCGCTCACCACTACTTCCTTCTGTTCCGCTCAGCCTGTGTGCACACGTTTCACGTAGAGGTGAGAAGGTGTCATTCATCCGTCATGCGTGGGTTAATTTTGATCTTCGGTTTATGGTGTCGCCAGCGAAGGCACCACGTGTGCGATGCTGATGCGTAAGTTGGCGGGTTTTTTTTAAGCATAGACCATTTTGCATCGGTACATATAAAGTGTGAACAACGAGCGTTGCCGGAAGGTACCACCGGTTGGCGGGAGCGAGGGAGGCCTAGACTACGTGCAATCGACTCGTGGCTTGCTCCGTGCAGGTCTAACAAGTACCTTGGTCGATTGCTCCTTCGCCCCCTCGGCCACCCTCCGTTTTCGAACTCGAACATCTCCTCAGAAGAATGGGTCGACTCCTCCCCCCCCCCACCCCCAAGAACATTTTTTTTCTTCTCTGATGTAGACTTTTCTATGTACGACGTATCCCCGTGTCATTACCCCTTCGACCTGCCCGGCAGGGCCTGTGCGAGCTGGCCGTGCAAAAGGGAATTACCGCGAATAACTCCGCCTCCCTCCTGCACACCAGCGACGACCTCCGCGCGACCCGTCTGCGTGACATCTGCATGCGCTTTGTCGTGCGACACTTCGACACCGTCTCCAAATCAGAGGTGGGCTGTCACACAACGTATCTCTCGTGAATGTGTACGATGGGCTCTATGCATCCGCTGTCTTCCGTATTTCGGAAAACTTTCCTGCGCGCCTTCGTGTGGACTTGACTGAGAAGGAGTTTCACCACAGTGGTCCTGCGCTTTTCGTTTGTGCTCACGGAGCTGTTTCGCTTCATGGCGTGGATCGATACTACGCCAGGTATTCGTGAACAGTTTTGAGTGTGTGCAAGAACGGCGGGTGAAGCATCTCGCCCACTTGCGGAACTGGTTCACCTTATTCGTATTCTATGGAGTAGTGTGCAAGCAAGGCCAGTGAAACGGCTCGCTCACCAATACGCTAGTTTAGCGAGACGCTGGAGCTGAAATGGCAACAGCCAGCAGGGTCCGTTACAGTCTAGCCATCGAAAGGATGCAATGTAGGGCTGCTGTTCCTGGTCGCCATATGTAGGGTGTCTTTTTCTTTGCCACATGACGTTCCCACGACGACGCCGACATGGCACCTGGTGTATCAGCTTTCGTTGGCCAGTAGCAAAACTCCCCCACCTTCAGAAGGATGCTCGTTCTGCGGCATGCTAGACTCACAAGCGGTTTTTCTCTCGCCTTCCCTGCCCCCTCTCGCACCCTTTGCCTTCCCCGTCATTTGGGTATTCCCCCCTGTTTGACGTCGGTGGCCGGTGTCATGCAGGGATTCAAGGTCTTGAGCCGTGAGTTGATATTCGATGTGCTCAGCAGCCGATGACTCATCGAGAACCAAGGGAGTCGAGCGGAACGGCTCGCGCGCAGTACGCTCGGATTTTCGGAGAGTCGCACAGCAGTATTGACGGCGGTGATAGCTTTAGCGTCGATACGTGGTGGTCGTGTTAGCCTGTGGGTCGGGTTTGTTTGTGTTTGTTTCTTGCTGCTGCTGCTGCTACTTGATGGGAGGGAGGTTTCAGAGAGAGAGGGGCCCATGAGGGCGCACGCACCGTTGTGTAGATTTGAGTGTGTTGTAGTATTATGACAGCTGTTTTTCGTATTTTTTTTTCCGACATGTGTGTGTGTGAGTCCGTTTCGCCCGCCAGGGAGTGTTTTTCTTCCGGTCGACAAGCCCTCGATGTGAGAGGAGGAGGAGGAGGAAGAGGAGGAGGAGCAGTACAGAAGTAGAGAATTGTTGTTGTGCATAGGGGATCATCATCCCGCCGTTCGATTTTGTTTCATGATGCACAAGGTGCCTTGGCAGTAGTGCCCACGCGGCCTCAAATTACACCTCGTTGTGTTCGTGCTGTTTGTTTTTGTTGTGTCTCGCGCGGGGCGGTAGTTGGTGACGGGCACAGTCGTGCAGCTAGCGGTGTTGTTTGTTTGTTGTGGACTAAAAACGCGTGGTATCGTTTTTTGGCCCTCAATATTCACCACCTCTTTGCCGTGTCCAACTGCATTCAGAGATGGTTTACGTTTTTGATGAATGCACGGAACCATGTTTGTGACGGGTGTCACAGCAAGCGGTGTGGAGAACAAATGTGGCCGATGGCGAGCAGAACTAACTGTGATGAATCAGAATCACACGAAGGCGGAGCCGGTTTCGGTAGATTGTCGTTTGATATTATGTGTGTTCCTTGCACATGATGATTGTAAGCAGAAATAAAAGTGTCTTCACCCCCTCCCTGCATGTTGCATCCAGCGTCATCTTATGAATTAATGCGTAATGCGGAGTTTGCTCCAGTATGGAGTATCTCCGAGGTGATGTACCATGTGTAGTCTCGGTATCACACTCATGTCGGTTGTGATCTCCGTGGTGGCGATAGAAACTTGGCGCCGAGCCCGGAGCGCTGAGTGGTTTTGCGTCTTTCTCGGAACACATTGAACGCGGCAAGTCGGCCTTGGGATACCTGAAATACTTCATCCAGCAGTCCAGCTGCAGTAGTTCTGTGAGATCTCCGTGCCTTGGCGGGATCAGGTCGCACGAACGTGCGGTCGTGACCGCTGAGCTACCCAAACCTCCGCCGCGCCTATAAAAAAACGTACGACCTCGAATACAGCTCGGTGACCCTGCTGGTTGACTCACCCCCGCGCTTAGGTCGGTCAGCCAAAGTCAAACGTAAACGAAAACGTTAAACGCGACACGGCGATCACGCAACTATTCCAATTGCGGTGCAACAGGATTCCGAACCGATTTTAGAACTTTTGAACGGAGGTAGCGATAAATTAATCTTGTAGGAGTCGCAGTGTAACCTTTGTTTCGAGGTTGATTCTAGCTTGAATGAAGATTGGGCACCTGGACGTACTACAGCATTCATATTATGCATGCATTGAGTGCTGACTCTGTCTTGATCATGTGGATGTCGCTCGGGGGCTCCGCGGAATCCAGAACCTCTTTGATGTGAGTTGGACCGCACCCTCGGGGCAAATCGATGTCGTCGCGTACACATGTTGATATACGTTATGTAACAGCAGTGCAGCAGGAAGGGAGGAAAGATGCGGTCGCTCCCTGCAGAGATGGCGAGCATGACAACGAGGAGATACCACAGCGCAATTTCCGCCAGAAAGACTCCTGCCTTGACCAGAGCCTTGACCATCACAGCGGTCGCAACAGGCGGAGCGGGAGGAACGATGTTGACGCTGAGTGCCAACCTTACTCCTCCGTGCGCTGCAGCTACGACACCTGCCAACTTGCCGGAGCGTCGCGACAGCCAGAGGCATGGGGATAGCAGCTCGTCCGCCATGATGTGGGATTACTTGCGGTCGAGGCTGACGAAAACGCTGAGGGGGCTCCTCTGGTCCTCCCTGGAGATGTTGCTTCTCTGGTCTCCTGTCGTTGTTTCTGGAGCTGTGGTGGGCATGCTATGCCAGCTGCCGCTTGTTCCCGAGGAGACTTCATCGCGCTTTTCAATGCTGTGGTGGACCTTCCTGTTGAAAGCCCTTGCCAGGAGCGGACCCACATTTGTTTCCAGGGTGAGCTTTTTCTTTATGAAACCCAGAGTAGAAAATGCTGAAATGTTCCGCCCGAGCAGGATGTACCTCCGGAGGTTACCTGCAATTCTACACCCACAGTCGATTTAAGAGTTCGATTCCTCTGCAGCAAAAGTAGTGACGGTGCCGAGAATTGCAACCTTAAAAAGGTTTCCTAGATACTTTTGCACACACCTATTGTTTGATTCGTGGAAACCTCTTCGTCGTGGAGTATTCGAGCTTCGAAAATCGGTCCAGGGGTATGGTATCTTACGCAACCCGCTGCCGTTATCACCGCGTACTTGGTGCGTAGCAACCAGTCCACGGTTCCCCTCGCCGCGGTGCCGCTATCGTTACCGCCACTCTCGCCTATAGCCCCCACCCCCCGCTGCTGCCGCAGCCGTACCCCTCTCCCTGCCCTATGGCCTCATCGTTTTTCGTCGACCACCATGTAACTGACAATTATGCAAAGAGCGTTAGCGCATTTACAACCAGCATTTCCAGAAGTTGAATATTTTTGAGAAACGCGCAGCCGAGGTCTGTTTGCCTTGGTCCCATGTTTTTTTGCCTGTGGTGTGGCCTCATTGGCCAAGGCCTAGCGTGCGCACAGTTCGGGTGCATTGTTCACCCCCCGCCCCCCGCCCCCCCTCCGGTGTTTGCCATCGGGGTTGGGTTTTCATCGCTTGGCAACGACGTTGTAAAACAAGCCGCCGCCCCCCCCGGTGTTTTGCCATCGGGGTTGGGTTTTCGTCGCTTGGCAACGACGTTGTAAAACAAGCC